ATTTATTGATTTTCTCTCTTTTCTGTCTTGTTTATAAAATTGAAATCGTTGTGTAATGAAGTTTGCGGTTGGTTGTAAGTGATCCCTCATTAACTTTATTATCTGGGTAAAAGTTTTATTTTTAGTGCCATTTTTGCATAAACTACAAATAAGTTTGTGAGCAGGTCCTCCAACAGTTGATAGAAAAACTGCTTTTTGTAGTTTTGCTTCTTTTATGTCATTGGCCAGTAAATAATTTTCAAATCATTCAATGTATTCAATAAAATAATCATTTTCAAAATCAAAACTCGATATATAAGCCAAATGCAGGCGCGGATGCATCATTTTTTAATGTTTGAGATATCTAACTTCTAGACATGGAGCAAACTTCAAAAATTTATGTTTATACTTTTATCAAATATTATGCTCTACAATAAATTGCAATTATTGGAGCCTGGGAACAAAAAAGTCCAAATATCTTAGCTAAACCTGCCCCAAACGTGAGAGCAATAAGTTCAAAAAATAATTTTTGTTCTATTCTTAACTAAATCTATATTCATCAATAAACTTTTTTTCCTTCAATATTTAATCTTTAAATATATTTAGTTACCAAAAATAGAGAAATACAAAAATAAATTTACAAAAAAATCTCTACATACTTGTTTTATAGAAAATAATAAGTAATTGAATATTAAGATTATTATAATGTTTAGCTATTGTAAAAACATTGTGAGTTGCAAAATTTTGTGTTTTTAAAACCTAGTATGTTTAGAAAAATGTAAAAAAGGACTGGTTTTGTTTATTATTGAAAGAGTACATAAACTTTTAAAAAATATATCAGACTTTAATAATGAAAAGAATATTAGAGGAGTTAGTGACTAATAAAAGTTAGCAAAAGCTGTTTTTTTTTTCAAAAAGTTTTTTTAGCCAAGCTGTTTATTTTGATTCATTTCATTAAACTCACCACTTAACTAAAGATAATTTGAAATGTTATAGACTTATATCAAAACTGGTACCAAGATATCTGTCTTTAAACTTTGTTTATATTAGTATTCTTTTTTACTTATTATATTTTACTTATGTTGTTCAATTTTACTAACTAATTTTACTAAGTGTTAAATGTTATTTATTTTAGTTTTATTTAAAACTCTGAAATAGCATCTTGTTGTAAAAGACATTTCTGGAATCTACTTTAATTTAATATCTTCACTTCCAACAAGGCTGCAAGCAACCACTATTAGAGTTAGAAGTTACTCGAATAGAAAAAATGAAGTTTATAAAGCAAGATTCACGAAAACAAAATGAAGGAAGCAAATTCCAAAGAACTAATGTTCCAGGAAAAAAACTAGATAAAAAATAATTTTTAGAGCACTTAGAAAAAGTCACAGTAAAAGGATAAGATTTAATTGAATGATGAGGGACAGGAGTATTAATTTTAGTAAATAGCACATAAGACGTAGCTCATTAGAGCAGCGCCTATCATAGTATTTATAGAAAAGAGAAAGAGAAGCAACATTACGTGATAATGGTTGCAGGTTGGCTGCAAGAGCAGGTCCAACTATGTTTAGAGTACGTTTTCGTACCTTGTAAAAAAGAGAAAGGGCGTCATTTGAAGATCTCTCCAGATATGGCAACAGTATTCCATACAAGGACGGATTTGATATTTATAGAAATAAAGAATAGAATCTGGAGTAAGAAAGTGGCACATCACAATAAAGAGATGCAACCTTAACAGATGCTATATAGTTTCCAAAAAAGATTGGAAGTAAGAGTTAATACTAGAAGATGAAGGATGAGTGACTCATTGAATAAATTACCGTTCATAAATATAGGAAAATCTAGATTGTTGCAATAACAATTAGTTGAAAAAAATTAATTTTCTCTGGGTTAAAGATAAACCTAAAAAATTAATTTTCTTTGGGTTAAAGATAAACCTAAAAAATTTAAATCATACTTTTTGTGAAATTAAAAATTAATACAAAACTAATATTTTACTTTTTTTTTTTTAACATGTTCATTTTACAACTACAAAGTATTTACAATTGACCAATCACCGATTGGCGAATAAAGATATACAAATAAAAATATCGTAAACATAAAGTCCAAAATAAATAAGGAATAAATCTAAAATATTGTTACATTCAACTTTGAGACATGATAAAAATAAATACAAAGTACACAATAGAATAACGTGAATGTAAAAATTACCCAAGAAATAAACCTCTATATTCTTTCAATTAAAATAAAAATATATATATAAATAAAAGTATGATAAAAACAAGATTTGTATAAGATTGAAGAAAATAATTAATTGTTTGTAGTTATAGGAAACTCGCAGAAGACTGGGGTCAGTCTTGTCATCGAGTACCTTCTAGACGTGTAATACACATAAAAATCAGTTGCATACGTGGTAAATATGTCTGTGGTACATATATGCCTTAAAATTATTAATGTTGCTATCTCCTTTTAGTATTATTTTTATTGTTTCCTTTGAAAAGTTACATTTTTTGTTTTATTAGGGTTGTTTTATTGTATTTTTATTTTTAAATTTTAAATTGGAATTTAAAAAAACTCCTTGTAGTTGTTTAACTTGATTATTGTAGATTTTAACGTTGTTTTCAGGGACTGTTCGTTGTTTAAATTTATTAGTGATTCGTTTCTAGAAATTATTTTGTTAAATAAATAGGGACCACGATGTTTTATTAAAAATTTTGAGAGTTTAGTTTTTTCAAAGGGTATCTTAAAGTTTCCCGTTGCTCTAGTATTGTATTTGTTTACGTTGTTTTCAAATAAGTGTGCTGTAAAATGTTCTGGAACCAGACTTAGTTTATATTTAAACATGAAAAGTATATTTTGATAAATATTAATTTGAAAAATATTTCAAGCCTTCATTACTCAATATCGTATATAACTTAAAATGTATTAAAGTACAATCAGAGTTGTCCCGAGGGTAAGAGCGTAGAAGTATCTATCCCCCCTACAAATTTATTAGTCGGCAAATTGGAAAACTTAGTCGGATCTATAGTTGGCAGTCAGCAAATGTCGGCCAACGAGGACTTTTGGGATGACGAAGTTGGTATAGTTAAAACTCTCAAATCAAATTTCATGGGGCACTCAACTGTATTTGGCATTAAACATTCCTAAACATTTTTAATATACATAAATCAAAAATTTTACAGGTATCATCCAACGGACCATATGTAAATTTGGTTTTTCTTAATAATTTAAGGAAACAGTGTAAAGATATTGATCCTTTTATAGATATTGGAAACTTATGTTCTCCACGTCTTTATGACATTTTTTTAACGGTGATATGGCAATTTCTACATGGCTCTCCTAATAGATGAACAACCTACAAAAACATCACTAAATAACTTGATCATCCAATGCTTGATTATTCTACCTGGTTATCCAAGTCATTCTCGAAGGCCAACACTATTCTTTATTTTCAGTAATTTTTAAAGTACCTCAAGGCTCTATCGTTGATACTGTTTTATTTCTTATTTTGCCTTGCATACATTGCCTTACATCTAAAGTAGCTCTTTTTGCTGATGACTCAACATTGTACTCAAATCTTGATAAAACGTCTTTTCTTTTCGATCGCTTAGAACAAGCAGCCGATTTTGAATTTGATATCACTTATTTGATATAACAGATTAGGGCATGCAATCGCTTATAAATTTTATTTCCAACAAAACTTAGTTATTTACTGCATACACCTATTACAAACTTGATAGTGGTTGTTTGCAACCATTGGAGGTAAATTTGATTAAAAAAATAGAAATAAAAGGTGTGAAAATGAAAGTTGAAATAATTTAGCTGAATCACTCTTTTATGGACAACAAAAGGGTGAAACATATATATTAGTAATTTGAAAAAAAAAATTGATTTAAAAAATAAAAGCTAAGACTATAATTTGCCACTCTAAACTGAAATTTTTTGAAATGGTTTCTCAAATGTTTCTGGTGTCATTGTAAAGAATAAATAAGTTTATTTTCAAAAAATCAATTAAGAACTTAACAGCTTATTAAATAATTAATGATTGTGTTTTTAATAATAAGTATCATTCAATTAAATATTAGTTTTTTAAAAGAGATTTTAAGGTTAGTGTAAAGTATTAAATAATCTGTATATAATATAATATGAAATAAAAATAAATTGATACGAAATAAAAAATTGATACGAAATAAACAATTGATACGAAATAAACTATTGATACGAAATGTTATTTACGTCATTTTAACATGAGCAAATTTGAAACTTTTTTGATTATTTTGAAATAATTGATTATTGCAATAAATTATTTTAAAATTTTACTCCGAGAAAAGTTTGAATCATCACAATGTTTAAAGAATCTGTCTGAAGTATTCAAAACTAGTAGACAATTAGCGTGATAATGTATAAGTTGTAAATATTAAAAGGTGTGACTTACAAAAAAAAAAAAAAAAAAAATAGATAAAATAATAAAAATCCTGGTAGTTTTGTTTTAAAAGTCAACCTGGTAGTTTTGCTTTAAAAGTCAACCTGGGTCTCAAAAGACCCAATATTCATGGAGTGTTAAAAGTATGCATTATACGCAACAATATTAGGAAAATGATAAAAAATAAAAGTACAGGCTGTTGTAAACAGTGCTAATACAAAGTTATTATTACTTTTTAATTAATACTAATGAAAATATGTTTGTGATGATGAACAACATCATTACAAACATGGTGTTTGGACTAAAAGCACTTGCCCTTGCACTTTGTAACTTGCAGTTACAACCAAAAATAATATCGCAGTTTAACTATAAACAGTTAATGCTTACATTGTTTTTTGCGTATATTTTTTTTTTAATTCAAAGCTCAACATGGTTACACAACTTTCTTCTTTTTTTTTTAATTTATTTTTTGCATGAACATTGTATTATAATCCCTTTGCAAATTATGGACCCATTTGTGTATTTGCATTTATGCATCTTATTTATAAGTAGTATTGTTAATTTTATAACCATTTAGTATAAATTAAACAAACATGTTTAGCTTGGAGTAGAGCTTTAAATGGACTTGTTGCTTGTGATCCTGGTCCGCGTTTTAAAGTTTTACGAAAACTAGCATCATCATCTTTAAAAATTTATGCAGAAGGATTGGTTGGAATGGAAAAAAAAGCTGCAGATGAATACAGTCACTTGAATAAAAAGCTTCAAACTATGAATGGAAAACCAGTTTCTTTGCAAAATATGATAGGTAAGTTAATAAAAATATTTAATATATTGAAGTTTAGTATATCATTGTTCTTAAATACTTCTTGTTCATTTTTGACAATTTTTTATCTTTACATTTTTACATCACAACTTTAGTACACGATTTTTAGTTCTGCTGGTGTACGAAACAGCATCAATTCAGTTTTTTCTATACTTAGATTGATAACAATTTCGTTAGCGTCAAAATAATGAGAAATATATTCTAAGTCTTTGGATAGCCTACTTTCTATTACATCTGTATCTCTTGTTGAAAGGTATATACTGTATCTTCTGCATATATATATATATATATATATATATATATATATATATATATATATATATATATATATATATATATATATATATATATATATATATATATATATATATATATATATTATAATTGTCATTATTATCGAAGATTGCTTGGTAAATTTTTAATTTATTTGATGTCTCTGGGAAACTTACATTGAATTCCCCACAAAGAAAATATGCCATTTCTATATTACAATGTAGATGTAAATACCTTTAAAATCTGCTTGTATAAACTTTATTTTGGTCTGAACGTCCTCCCCTCCCCTCCCCCCTCATTGTCAATTCTTTTCAAACTCCTCAGTACCCCCTGCCCCTATATTTACTAACCATTATGGATGACGAAAAAAAAAAAATTGTCTGGAATTTTTGGGGGTTACTAAATTTGCGGGGCTCAGGGCTATAACCTCCCCCAGCCCAACCTATATATATATATATATATATATATATATATATATATATATATATATATATATATATATATATATATATATATATATATATATATATATATATATATATATATATATATATATATATAGGTTTTATATATATATATATATATATATATATATATATATATATATATATATATATATATATATATATATATATATATATATATATATATATATATATATATTTATATATATATATATGTATATAGGTTGGGCTAGGAGGTTTATAGCCCTGGGCCCCGCATATTTAGTGGCCCCCAAAAATTTCAGACAACTTTTTTTTTTTTTGTCATTTTTAGGCTCTTGCCCATAAAATGGCCTCCAAAAACAAAAATAGCCCCAGGCCTCAAGAAGTCTTAATCCGCGACTGCTGTTGACAACTCAATTTGTGAGAAGTTACTTTTGTTATTACTGGATCGAACTATCTCTTTGACCAATCAACTTCTATATTTTTAAGTAGTTTGCACGTGACAGAGGTGAGACTTATAGGTTGATAATTTCCCGGTTCGGTGGTCAGGCCTGTTTTGAATACAGGTGTAATGTTTGCTACTTTCCATGCAGTAGGAACTTTACTCTGGTCAAGTTATTGCTGATACAACATGGCTAAAAGTTTTGCTTATTTGAATGGACAGCTACGTAAAACTAGTAAATAGATATTATCATATCCTTGCGTTTTGTTTGGACTCATTTCTCTAATAAGCTCTACTTGATTAGTATTAATGTTAATACTTTCAATTTTATTGTTAGTTTTGATAAAATGTTTGCCGAGCACCCAACTAGATGCTGAATTAAAAATGCCTTCAAACTGTTTATTGAGAATGTTTGCTTGTTATTGTTTGTCAGTCGTTATTAGACCAAAGCTATTTAGTAAGGCGGTAATACCAACTTTATTCTTGTTTTCGCTTTTGATATACGCAAACAAACGTTTCAGATTTTTTTTTTAACATAAGCAAGGTTAAGTTCAAGTTTATTTTGTGCTTATTTGCTAGTTTTCTTCAAGCTATATATATATATATATATATATATATATATATATATATATATATATATATATGTATATATATATATATATATATATATATATATATATATATATATATATATATATATATATATATATATATATATATATATATATACACACCTATATATGAATGTTTTTAATTTAAAGAGTTAGGTACCCTCAACATCATTTGTACTATTTTGTTCAATCATCGATATGAAGAAGATGATAAAGAATTTCAGGATATCATCAAATACTCAAATCTGACTGTTAAAATTTTTGGTGGAACAAGCATTTTATCTTCTATTCCATGGCTGCGTTTTTTACCATCAGCTTCTTCAAGAAGCATATATGAGATAGTAAGAATACGTGATCCACTTTTGAAAAAAAAGCTACAAGAGCACAAGAGCTCGTTTGATGAGAATAACTTACGTGATGTGACTGATGCATTAATTAAGGTTTCTTTGGATTCAGATATTGCAAAAGGTTCCGAAGAAAAAATTTCTGACGAAAACATAGAGTTTCTTTTAAACGATTTCATAATTGCCGGATCAGAAACTTCATCAAGTAAGATAAACTTTATAACGAAATTATAAAAGTTACATCAGGTAAGCGTTACCCATGTTTAAACGATCGCCCCTTGCTTCATTTAATGCAAGCCACAATTCATGAAACACTTCGATTGTCATCAGTAGGTCCTCTTGCTATAGTTCATAAAGCGATGGAAAACAGTTCCATATGTGGAAAACCAGTTCCCAAAGGAGCTTTTATACTAACAAATTTATGGAGTATACATCATGATGAAAGTTATTGGAAAAATCCAATGTGTTTTTATCCAGAACGTTGGTTAGAAAAATCTGGTGAGTTTAATTCTAAGTTAGGGTATGCATTTTTGCCGTTTTCAGGCGGACCTCGTAGCTGTTTAGGAGAAGCACTTGCAAGAACAGAGTTGTTTGTCTTTTTTTCACGATTAGTAACAGATTATCGGTTTGAAAAACCAAATGGTGAGGAGTTACCGCGTTTGAATGGTCGTTTTGGTCTCACTTGCTCTCCTTTTGACTTAAAATCGGTGGTTGTTCCAAGATGTTAATTGATTTTATAGTTTTTTAGTCTTAATATTGATAATAATTATTTTTTGGTCAAAGAGAATGAATGAATGAATGGGTACTTAATGAATTAAATAAGTTATGATAACTAATTGTTGGAAAAAAATTGGAATAAAATAAATTGTAAAAAGATAAAATAATGAATAATTCAATGAAGGTTTTTATAATAATATCGATACTCGGATTTACTAAGTTATTAATGTTAAAAACAAAATGTTTGATGCTTAATAATGCTAAAAGTAAAGTTTGTTGTTGAAATTCAAATCTAATAATTTAGTTTTTAATTGCATAAACAAAAAACTTGAAAATTTGTATATATGTACTTTTTTTTACACTTTATATTTTAAATCTGCTTTGTATTTGTAATAGTATTTTATTATATATTTATGTTTTATGAATGACTTGTACTGTTGGTAATATTAAAAAAAACTATCTTATCTAGATAAATATCACTTAATTGTATATATTATCATTTAAGTGCAAACTTGTTGTTGAGTGCATTAAACTAATTTGCAGTTGAATGAATCGAAGCTTGCGACGGCAAAATAACCATTCTTTCCAATGCTTCGCGACAGCAAAGTACCATTCTTTCCAATGGTCAACTTTTTGGCAGGCGGAAACCATTGGCTGCAACCATCCAAAAAAATTTTAGACCTAAACTTTTCTGCCTTCTAAGTGGTTTAAATGTTAATTTAGTGTATTTAAAAATTTAAAATTAAAAGTTTGACATCAAATTTGCGTTTTACATGATTTATTAACTAATTTTGACTATTGAAAAAAAAATTAAAATTTTGTCTGAGTGTAATTTTGTTTTAGGGCTTTTATCAGGGGGGTGGGTGGTGGGGTTTTCGCTACCTTGATATGCTAAAACCATATATGTGACCATAACTAGGGAATCCATTACCGCTATATTAAAAACCGGAATACTGGTTGGATATTTTTCAGTTTTGAATAACGGTATTAAAAGATTTAGGAACTTCTATTTCAGTATTTTAATCGTTATTATTTTAATTTTTATTTAAAACAATATTTGTATATTACATTTATTTTTCTAAATTAATTTATAAATAAAAGTTTTGATTAAAAAGATAAGTATATAGGTCGGTGTCTGTGGCTTCAAATTCCAACACACTCATTATACACATCGAATAACTAAGTTTTAAATTTACTATTTTGCGTTTTAAGTATTCTAGAATCTAACATTAAAAGTTCCCATTCTAAAAGTGTCCCAAGCGGCCAGTATAGACCTCTAAATTAACCCATCATCGTGTCTATCGTGAGATTTCGATTTTATTTGATTTTCAATAAAATAGTTTGCAGAACCAGGTTTTTACTTTAATTTTGCCGTCTAAAACCATTCTGTATTATAAGCTAATTTTTACATGATCTATCCAAAATAACATTTAATTGTAGAACATTCTACTTTATAATCGATCTTTATGAACTTTTATTATTATTTTTTTTTTGTTATAACTTTAAAGTATAATAAATATAAATTTATTTAGAAAAATTTCTATTAAAACTTATTTTATATGTTTTCCTACTAATACATATAATATGTTTAAAAAAAATCACGTTGATCAGAGTTTAGAAACCATATTATCCTCAAATTATGACTCCAAGGACCAAATATTTGTTAGGAAAGGGGCAATAATAGCACCAAAAAAAAAAAAAAAAACTCTTCTATTATGAGCTCGACTGAAGTTCATTTGTAAAATTCTCATTTAGTAAAAAATATATTTTAACGTTCAAAAATTATGACCTCGTATAGTTGACAACCCCCTCAAATAGAGGGGGTTTCAAACTATCGTTATTTAATATTTTTTGGTTTTGAACTGCAAGATAAATACCAGCGGCATTAGTATATATAGAAAATTTGGTAATAATAATATTTCTGTTTTGATTACAATCCTCTTTTAAAACATTACATAAAAATGGCAAATAGCAAGTCTCCTAAAAAAACAGATCAAAAATAAAAAGATCTAGAACCTAGGTTACCTTATCAAAAAGCATTTAAATTCTAAGGTACTTTGGATAGTTAACTAAAGAACATAAAAACTAAATTTGAAATCAAATTTATTAACTATTTGGGCGTAATAAGGAAAAGAAAATTTTTTTTTTTTAATTTATACTATTGGATGGTTTCTATATACACCAAAACTTTGACCTCAGTTATCCGGTTATTGATGCTATTGTTAGGTATCCTCAGTTATCCGGTTATTGATGCTATTGTTAGGTATCCTCAGTTATCCGGTTATTGATGCTATTGTTAGGTATCCTCAGTTATCCGGTTATTGATGCTATTGTTAGGTATCCTCAGTTATCCGGTTATTGATGCTATTGTTAGGTATCCTCAGTTATCCGGTTATTGATGCTATTGTTAGGTATCCTCAGTTATCCGGTTATTGATGCTATTGTTAGGTATCCTCAGTTATCCGGTTATTGATGCTATTGTTAGGTATCCTCAGTTATCCGGTTATTGAGACTATGAAAATCTGGGAACTTTTTTTTTTGTGATTATTTTAGTTTATATTATCAAGAAAACCTCCTCAAAACTTAGTTACTAAATGTGTATAACGAACGTTTTTTTTGAAAGCTTTTTCTGCATCAGACGCCGGCCTAATACGAGAAGTCTATATTTTTATACATTTTTTATTCTATCTTGCATGTTTAAACTTTTAAACTAAGTAAAAATCAAATACAAAAATGAATTTTTGAAAAACTATTGAACCCATTGATGCAGGGCCATGGAGATGATAAAAAAGTTGTAGCAATAATCTTTTCTGCGCCACCTCCCCTCGTATTTTAACGACGCGACAAAAATTGCATTTAGTATAGTTATTGGCAATATATTTGAAAAAAATTGGAAATTTTGATAATTTGACTACCGTATGCGGAGTTTCCTAGGAAAAATTCTAGAACCTTTTTTGTTTCTAATTTAGGTTAGTGGTTTAAATAAAGTTACTAATATTATAAATTCAGTTACTATAAATTAACTTGTTTTATTCTAATGAAAATAATAATATTTATTTTTAACAGTAAAAAAAAAAGTTCATAAACTAATCCAATAGTTTATGTTCAATAAACTGCAGTAAACTTTCGATACCTCGAACCTCCAAGGGACCGAGAAAATAGCGAATATTCGAGTTATCAGGGTTGTGGATCAGTGGTTAAAGCGCTTGCTTTGTAAGCAGAAGATCCAGGTTCAAAACGAGCTTTGGACGTATTTTTGCGTCTCGATAAGGAAGGAGGCTTGAACTTCCTGGTTAAACGCACCTCTATGGTGCTCTGACAAGAACGTAAGGTCTTCTTGGGACACCTAAATAACAATAAAAAAAAAAAAAAAAAAAAAAGATTCTATAAAACAAACTTTAGTCAATAAATAAAAACAATTACATTGAATATAGTTATGTTCAATAGAATTCAATAAAATACTATTTAAATAAATTTAAAGCTTGTTTAAGAGAGCAGTTTTATTGTTATGCTTGAAAGACCATGTTCGAAGAAAAGATATAGTCGTTACATCTTGATAAACTATTTCTGTATTTTCATTTATTTCTGTTTCACTATTGTATGGTTTTTCATTATCTGAGGAATCAATATCAAAGTTAATACTGTCATCTTCATCTGATAAAATATAATTACAGGAAAAATTCTTTATGTTGTCAGAGTCAGAGGATTAAATATTAATCAATTTTTTCTCAGTACAGACAATATTTTCAATTGATTGTTGTTGATTGTTTTCAATTTGAAATTCCTTATAATTTTTTTTATTAAAATTAGCTGAGGTAGAACCTACTAAAAGAATTTTTTTATCTCTGTAATCTTCTTTTATCTCTGCAATCTTCTTTTAATAAATCTTTAATCAGTCTGTTATTATTTCGTCAGTCTATCATGTAATGCTTGAAATAAATACTTCGAGATTTTTTTTAAACATAATCAGTAGTAAATTTATCAAAGATAGATTTTTAGATATTAGTTTAAGATATGCAGCAGTTTCATCGTTATCATTTTAATGATAAACTACAACATTTCTTATTGCTTATTTTCTATATAATGCCTTCATAAAGTTACAATAATTTAAATATAGTTTTAATTAAGATCTCCATCTCGGAGCACATTCTTACATCTTCCCCTTCTTCTGTAAATGAAATGTTTTACTGCTTGTGTTTTATTATGTTTTAATACTTCTTCCATAATTCTATAGGACGTCTTTCTCTGTTAAAATATGTCTTCAGAATCGGTTCTTGATGATAGCTTCTTAGTTGTGTCGGCATAGTAGCTTTTATTTCCTTTTCTGGCAAAATTGATTCGTTTTGGAGGTATTCTTCATCTTTCTCTTCTTTAATTGGTATCGGATTAAATTGTATATCCGTTGGTACCTTCTTCATGTGTGAAGCATTTTGAGTTTTTTGAGAATTGTTGACGGGAGATTTTGCAGTGATCATTGTACCATTCTTTGCAGTAATTGCGTAGGGTTTGAACTCGAATGGTGCAAAACGGGAATTGAGACTGAATTAAACTTTTGTTTAAAATCTTAACCACTTACTAAAGGGTTAGTAAAGGTACTATGCCATAATCAGCGGTGTACCCAGGCCCGTCTTTACACATGTCTAGCCTAGGAAGTTGCTGCGGGGCCAGGGCATTTAGAGAGGCCAGCAAGGAATCAAATTTTTTTCTAATAAATTTTAATAATAAAATTAAAAGTGAAATGGCGCTTTTTTTTAATTATTTAAAAAGTTTTTTATTTACTAAACAACCATAACTCTTACATAAATAACTTTTAAAATTTTTTTTTTCGCCAAGATTACCCACCGATTGAATTAGAAAATAGTTATCTTTTCACAATTTTGTTATACATTATACTTTTCGGGTATACTGTATTTTGACGATAAGAAAAGTTTACGAGATTAAGCAAATACAAATATATAAATACATAGCTCGGGCAAGAAAAAGATAAATTCAGTCTTATCACTAAGTCCCTTAAAATAAATGTCAAAAAAAAAAAATTATATATATATATATATATATATATATATA